TTAATAAATGATCCAGCTTTGCTTTTGGCTAACTGTTTTTGTTGTTCTGCTTTATGATTGTAATGCATGACTGTGCCAACATGTGTCTCCTCCTCCCTGCTCTTGTTTGTAGGCTGCACCTGCTTTTCAGGAGACCAGGCCTCGCAATTATGTTCTTTCTGCCAGTGCATCAGCGGCAAGAGTCCATCACAAACTGCAGGGTCTGTCACCCAGCAGGAGCTAGGCTAACATGCTAACAGGCACAGAGCCTTAGAACACCACATACTCCAAAAGACAGATTATGCTCACATCAGGGCACAGAGCTGCTGCAGCCTCACCCGACCCAGCAGCTCGTTGGCTAAAGCTATTGAATGTTGTGTCGGAAGCATCCTGAGGCCACAGTGGCTTCAGAACATGTAAATATTCTATCTTAAAAAACATCTTGAATTTATTTGTAGAAAGTTAGTTTGTTATTTAACAGGTATGGAGACTTTTTTTAGTTTCATACATTTTCAAAAATACATTGTTAGAATTTCTAAAAAGTACTCTTACTCAAACCACTAAAATAATGTAAATAAAGCAAAAGGCTCCTGAAATCCTTTCACAGTGTAACACTGCCTTGCTGTGGTCCCAGTATATTTAAACTGCATGGGATGACGGCTACTAATGAGCACTGCACATGATATATATATTTGGAATGCTTTATTGATTGAAGTGGGGGCTGCATTTTGAATTCTTAAACAAGTTATGCTTATCAGACTGTGGCATGACCTTTGCAACACAAATATAATAAAGTGAGCATGTTTAGCAAGTTTTGATATTGTTGCATGCTGTTTATACTTTTTTTGACATAGAAAAACTATGATTACTAATGTACATATAGCTTTACACTGGTATGATCTGGAACTGTGACAGGCTCTGAAAGACTCCAATCCACTTCCGTAGTTGCACTTATGAAGGCAAACAATGGCCTTAATGAGTCTAACTGGTCACAAAAACCAAACATTTTTAGATTTTTAGATCAGGACCTGGTCTAATGTGGCCAGGATGGGAAAAAGCACTGAAATCTCTCTTTTTTGTATTTTCACAAATAGAATTAAGGTTTCACAAATCTGAAACTGTGTTATAAAGAATCTTTTGACTCTCTGGGATAATCCAGTCCAGATTTGATGAGTCTAGGTATAGTGGTTTTAGATCAGGACCTGGTCTAATGTGGTCTACATGTAAAAAAAAGCACTGAAATCTCCCTTTTTTGTATTTGCACAAATAAAATTAAGGTTTCACAAATCTGAAACTGTGTTATAAAGAATGTTGAGCCTCTCTGGGATAATCCAGTCCAGATTTGATGAGTCTAGGTATAGTGGTTTTAGATCAGGACCTGGTCTAATGTGGTCTAGATGCGAAAAAAGCACTGAAATCTCCCTTTTAAAAATGTTCACAAATAGAATTAAGGTTTCACAAATCTAAAACTGTGTTATAAAGAATGTTTAGCCTCTCTGGGATAATCCAGTCCAAATAAATCGGCTATGCAGCGATTTAAGAGGTTCAAACACGAAGGATTGTTCGCTCAGCGCTGTAAATTAAATTTCCCTTAACTTTCCCCTTAACTGCCGAATCGGAAGCTCTGAATCGGAAGCCAACTTCAGCGTCGTGTGGAATCTAGGGGTTACCTGGTCGGCCTGTTCGAGGACACCAACCTGTGCGCCATCCATGCCACCATCATGCCCAAGGACATCCAGCTGGCCTTAAACTGACCCGAGACCAGCCCATCGAAACACAAAGACTCTTTTAAGAGCCACCTCACTCTTCACTGAAAGCCTCCTTCCTGACTAAAGAGCGATCTGCGAAAATCTTAAGGGTTTTGATAGCATTACAATACTTAGATGTTTCTGCTAGCAAAGGTTACGCTAATATTAAAGAAGAAACAAAAAATGCAAGAATTCATACATGTTTATTATGAAACAAATCCAACATTTTGTAATGAATGTTATATTACAGAAAAGGACAAGCTCAACCGTAAAACTGTAGGACCACAAGAACAAGAAACTAGGGGAGTGTGTGCAAGTGGCTAGTTATCACAGAGTTATTCTAGGATCTCTAAGAAAAAAACAATGAATAAATAACATAAACCAAAACGGTCGGAGTAGAAGGAAAAAATAAAGGCAAAAATAAGTGTCTTTTTGTTTTTGCCTTTATGCCTGCAGTAAGAAAATAGAGGGATGTGGTATTAACTGAGGTGGGTACTACTTAAATATTGGTTCAATAATACATTGGGTGGGTATGGTGAGCACATGATGTTACACTGGGGTCACCTTCTACCACCAGGGCCGTATCCAGGATTTCCTAAATACCGAGGTCCAAACATGCTAGGGGGGTTCGGGGGTATAGATTTGGGGGATTTTCATGATCTAGTTAGGTGCTTTTTAAGTCCTGTGGGGGGTCACAAATTGGATAATATATTGATTTCAAACCATGTCAGTGGGCTGCAGCATAAATTATTTTTGAAATTGTAATAATGCATAACATCTGATTCTTACCCCTAGATTCCACCGGGTCCGTCTGTGATAATATATTGATTTCAAACCATGTCAGTGGGCTGCAGCATCAATTATCTTTTGCATAAGAATCAGTTGATTGTTACTATTAATGATCTGGACATGCAGAAGAGGCTAAAATGATCACACAACATTGTCAACATTCATTTTCCATGTCTCTCTCCTTTCCATAACCTGCACCCTCTCTTCCATCTTCTTTAGTCTCTCTGTCTTCTTCCTGTTCATTACTCTCTCTGTCCTCTACTCTTTCTCTTTGTTCAATCTCTCCCTCGTTGTTCACTTTCTGCTCCTCCTCACTTGTCGCTCCTGCCAGTGAATTAAAAGCAATTCAGCAATTTAGTTCATTTCACTTGTTTGTTTGCATTATTTTTTAAATTTAAATCTGTTTTGTTTGATTCTCAAAAGAGAACAAAGATGTAAGCAAATTGTGTTTTATACAATTGTATGTTATTATGACATCATAACTGCAATAGATATATGTTGTTTTAAAATTATGCCTATTGTCTATATTGTAAATGAAGACTATTGTTATAGATAAATAGATAGATAGATAAGATAAGATAAGATAAGATTGTACTTTATTGATCCCAATTTGGGAAATTGTTTTTGTTACAGCAGCATAAAAGACAAGGCATTTTACAATAAAACTATAAAATAAACAAGAATAGAAAGAAAAAGAAAAGAAAATAGAAAATATACATGCAGATATTATATATACAAATATATATATATATATATTCAAAATATATGACATAAGGAATAAGGAATATGGAATATGGATAGATAGATAGATAGATAGATAGATAGATAGATAGATAGATAGATAGATAGATAGATAGATAGATAGATAGATAGATAGATAGATAGATAGATAGATAGATAGATAGATAGATAGATCAATACACAGGAAATATTGGTGAGTATTTTTTCCAGAGTAATTACTATTGTGCTCTGAAATAGTGATATTTAATCATTTTGGAGTGTATTTATTACTCATAGCTTCTAGAGTGCGATCAAAAATGCAGAGTCAATTCTATTGGAGTTAAACCATGACCACGCTGTAACGGAGGTGATCTCTGGGGCCATTGATCTCGGTCTCCGTTACGGATTATATAGCTTCATTATTGGCGAAGTATATTAATTTGTTCCACGCTAAAACATTGCACAGGAAGCATGTGATTATATGTCATTTATGCATATATTTGTCACAATCTGTCTATGTTTTAGTTTGTCTGTCTCTGTTTCCTGTTTTAGTTTGAAAAGTGTTCCCCCTCCCGTCTTGTCTGTTGCTGCTGGTGATTGCGTTCACCTGGTGCCCTGTGTTTCTCCTCCCTCCTCACCTGTGTCTTGTTGGTTTGATTAGTCCTGTGTGTATTTAGGTTCTGTTTTCCTGTTAGTGTGTGTGTGTGTGACAGGTCCTGGTGACTGGTGACTGGTGACTGGTGACTGGTGACTGGTGACTGGTGACTGGTGACTGGTGACTGGTGACTGGTGACTGGTGACTGGTGACTGGTGACTGGTGACTGGTGACTGGTGACTGGTGACTGGTGACTGGTGACTGGTGACTGTGTTCACGTGAGACAGTCATATTGAGGCTGTGTATCCTGTACCACAAAGAGGAATAAATGCCCACACCGGGTTGTATTTGAACTCTCTGCCTCTGCCTCCTTGCTTGGTTGGGCCGCTCAATGGTCAGCTTCACACACGCCCACTCATGTTCCTTAAGCACTTTGGTTTATTGACCTTTTATATTGTAAAGATCATTATGGTTCATTTATTCTATTCTGAGTAAAATGAACTTCTATTGGGAGTGAAATTACCTTCTATTGGGAGTGAAATTACGTTAGATTGGGAGTAAAATTACCTTCTATTATGAGTAAAATGGCAGTAGAGTTGTTTTTAATATACACTACATAGAGTAAATAACCATTAAGCAGAGTCAAATCTAAGCACATAATAGAGTAAAATAAACTCTAAAAATACAACTCTGAACAAAGAGTACATTTTACTCTATATAGGTTGGGACCAAATGTTATATTTTTAGAGTAAAATTTTCTTCAATTTGAGTCAATTTTACTCAGAGAAATTTACTGTGTAGATAGATGCGCAATATAGGCGTAGTTCTGTTAGTATAGATGAATACCTTATAGAGAAGTTCAGCAAATGTTTTCTGTCTTTTTATTTATGCTTGTGTTGACCTGTTGATCAAAAGTAACTCACAGTCCAAACATTTTAGTCCGCTGATCTGCTCATTAATCCTGAGCAATTTAATTTATTAATTTCCTCAATATTGTTAATGTTTTATGTCCTGTTTTGTCACCCATGTTTCTTATTATGGCTTCATGACAAAACTGCCGTTGCTGTATAGTAATGTGAAATGCAGAACAAATCAATTAAACAATGACATAATCATCCATAATGTTGTCTTTTATTGAACAAATGTCGAGATGCATAGGCGCTATACAAATGTAATCTATTATTACTATTATTATTATTATTATTATTATTCATTTACAGCTTTTATACGTCCGGAAATGTATTTATTCTTCTAGGGTTCCAAAAAAAGAAGACACATTTTGTTAAGCTGTAGCTGCGCCTCCGGAGCCTCAGAGAAAGACAGTGATGCTGGCCGAGGAGAGCAGCAGGAGGAGCGGACTGCTGCCGGCGGGCATGGCGCTGTTACACAGGTCTTGGGAACAGCACTTAATGGGTTCAACACATGCCTCGCTGGTCATGCAACTCTTGGTCAAACCTGCAAGGTGCAATATAAAGAAACTCAGTTTAAACAAGCCACCAAGCATTTGAAGAGAAATATAGCACTGATGATCTATTTGAAGTGCAAACTCACCCAAGACCTCGACGCTGAAACAACGGTTCAATCCGGAAGGACAAGTCATCACCGCTGAGCAGCCGATACCTCCAACACATGTGTGGCATTTCAACCCATAGGCTATACAGAAATTGAGAAAAGTGCCAAACATTGTTACATACTGTAATGTAATGCTCTTTTTATCACCATCCTCCAAAAATCACAATAAAAATGTATTTTGCTTTCAATACTTTTGCTTAGTTGCAGTTTCTGAAAATAGGTCTATTAAATCAAAGTATGGATGCACAACTAAATATTTTTAAGAAAGCAATTTTAAATCCAATACAAATATATGCTTTCAAATTCATAATCAAAGAATGTGCCGCATATCAAACTACTGCGACATAATTCAAGGTCACCATCATGATAACTTAGAAAAAACTTACATTTCTTTGTGTTTCAACATGAAGCCAATATATCAGTTGTTTTTACCTGCAGACAGTGTCATGAAGAGGATCAGAGCTCCATAAAAATGCATCTTGAACAGAGAGGAAATCACACCTTAAATAACCAGTGTAGGAGAAAAACTGGAGGGAAAATGACAACACCGTCAATGCGCTTCCAATTTATAGTCCTTCAAACATGAAAACGTATTTCCCTAGCCCCCTCCCAAAGTGATCACATTACCCCAGAGACAGCCGTGCACCAAACCGGTTTCTGTTTGTTTCTGTTATACTATGCACATAATGAGAGTGCCTTATGTGGCACACCTTTTTTGATAACTGATATTTTATTGAAAGATTATATAGTTTTGTTCAATAACTTGCATGTCACATATCCAGACACCAGTGGCGGCCGGTGGTCTTTTTTTTTGGTGGGGCTCTTGACGTACCGTAAGTGACCTACCCGGGGGGTCCGGGGGGTTTCCCCCCGGAAATTGTTTTCGAGAAATGACCCCTTAAATGATGACTTCTGGTGATGTTAGAGGGGGGGGGAAAGGAGAAATCGAGGCTTAAAAATATGAGAAGACTGATCAATACCTCCATAATCTTCAGTGTGGAAAATATTATTTATCAACCTCAACATCTACTACTTTACCAGGAATTTGTGTTCTCAGAACTGGTCTGTTTTTTTCTTTCTTAAAACTGTTCATGTTTTATGAACCAACACCTTCACCAAGTAGCTTTACAGTGAACTGCATGTGAGATATAAAATTAATAGCATCTTTTCAGTAGCATTAATTATAAATATTTAAGTGGTTCAATACAAGTCACTACAGCATTTCAAACTGAACTGTGAATAAATGCAATTTAAAAAAAATAACCACAGCACAAAATGTCATAAATTGTGTTTTTTCTTTGTTTCTCTGAGGATTATTTACAAACAGGTTTATTTACATATAGCAATAACTCAGAAATGAAAAAGCTACATCGTCTAACACGAACAACCAGTTAGCATAATGATAATATATGTGTTATGTACAATGTAACTGGCAAGGCTAGAGCAAGAAAGAACATAAAGTTTGCAAAAGGTTTAAATAACTTCAAGTATCTGTCTTCAGATTACGTGGAGGTTTTAGTCCGATGGGAAGCAGATTTTAAGCGACACCGAAGATAAACCAAAAATGTGGTGGAGCTGCAAACCGTGTAGTGTTGCTGGGACAGAACAGGAGCTATAACCGTTGGAAAATACATCACAGACAATGCAACAAACGTGGAGACAGAACAATCACTTCTGTGATAAATGCCCACTTATTAATAAACTTCTAACAACCATGGGAAACCTCCTCTCTACATATAAAGTGATATCCAAGCATGGGAAACAAAAGACAGCATTTACCTGTTTGCATCCAGCTAGCCAAGCCTTTCTTGTGTACCAGCTACTTGTGAAGCCTCGTGTATAAATGTTGTCTTTTTCACGAGATTGCTGCGATATATTCAAATCGGGTTGGTCCGGTGCAAGGTCTTTAAGCAACAATTTATCTGCCAAACTTCTCCTTTCGAAAGGATTGGAGATTAGCTCTTGAACAGAATTAGCCGGGGACCGAGGTCCGGAGACTCCACCTGCACACGAAGCCATCCTCATCAACTACTGCGTCAACCGGATACGAGTCACTGTCCAAACTACTCACAGACTGCACTGGGCGCTGACATTGGCGCCTGGTGACCGTCATCTTTGACGACGCTGATTGGCTGAAATTATATTTTCGCGGCATAGTTTACACGTTACAGATAGCAACAGTCAGCTGCTAGTGGCTGATGCTGCACTGGTTGAAGGCTCCTCTCTTAGCGCCCAGACGAGAGAAGGTGCATGGGCAAGGCCAGGCAGGAAACATGTGACTTATCAGTAACTTTAGACATCGTAACACAATTTTAAACGAGATTTTATTGTAGATTATACATTTTACTGATACCAATTATATAATATTTACCTTGTTCATTAAAAATAAAAATAAAAACATATATTTTTTTTTAAACATATTTTTTTTTTTTAATTTTAATTTTAATTATTATTATTTTTATTTTTTTTCAATATGGGAAGAGGTGGGGCGGCGCCCCTAGCGCCCCTATGGACCGGCCGCCACTGCCAGACACCAATGCCTATCGGATGTTATGACATTCGTCCACATTCACTTTATTTGATATGCTTTTGGAATGTTTCATATTATGAATATGAATGACCAAATGAGTCCAAATGAATGCAACATTGTCATGTATTCTGGACAAGTAAAACACAACTAATATTATTACAATTTTGTCCACATTATATTTTTAAATAAAAATACTGCAAATTTGAGTTTAATTTATTTTTGGGTCATACCTGTTGCTCAACCGAGACCCAGTTACATGTATTTTTTTTCCGATTAACTTCAGGGGTCCAGTCTAAACTAATTACTTTTTCTCACAGCATTGAGAACATTTCAGAACACGTTTATTTACATGTACACAACATCACCATAGTCCTTTCTTGGCCTTCAGTAGCTTTATGCCACACACTCAGCACTGAACTTCCTTCTCACAGTCCTCTTCTGCTGAAGTAAAATACATGATTTATTAACATATTTTATTAATATTTTAGCTAATGACTCATATGAATATGTGCCATGTACACATTCAAGGACTTCAAAATACAAAGAGGGGAGAGCAACTCATGCAAACAAGGGTGTGTTGTCTCGTGTGTGAGCTGGGAAAGCCACACATGTCAAATATTTGACAGCAAAACAGAATGTCCGAGGTTGCAGTCGAATAGTCCAAAAATCAGCTCCTAACGTCTATCCCTATCGTCTATCCCTTGACCTCTGTGTGAAACGTCACGGGGTTAAGGGATAGTGGATAGGAGAATTCAAAAGGATTTAGGAGAAGAGACTGCGGTACTTTAGAGAATCCGACTGCACTTTTTCTTTTAACGAGGGACTACTGTAAACTCATCTAGAGACTCTGCACCGTGCTCTGATGCTGTTGTTTTATGCTTTATGAACGTGGACAACTGAGAAACATATTCTTCATGACCAAAGTTGGAATTGAAATAAAAAAGGAAAGTGAAACTTATGCTCGTCACCCTCTCCCTCCGGTCCACATTAATACAAATGATCCCAATACGTATTATTGTATGAAAAGATCTTAAAATCAATACAAATGTATTTATTATAAATGTTAGTCCTTAACATCTATCACTGTGTATATCACCATTCAAACATCTTTTAAAAGTTGAACAAACCCCACACAGCTCAGTAAAGACTGTGAAATGTTGACTTTATTTGATCATTTCAGTAAAAACTAACTTTCATATTTATCTTTTTGATTATAATACTGATGAACGTTCAAAACAAAGCACTTTGGCAACTTACCACATACGTTTTAAAATGCTTAATAAGCACCGTAACTTTCATGATATAATTTCTCGGTCATAATCGGTTGTTTCCGTGAACGGCCGACTGTTGTGTGACGGCAAATGCTGCGGCTGCAAGGCATTGTGGGGCAGCATTTTCTCCTCTCCTTTCGTCAAGGGAGGTCCAGTGGTTCCTAGGCTAAAGGAGGTTATAAAGGAAGTTTGAAACCTCCTTTCCTATCATCTAGAGCAGGGGTTCCCAACCTTTATTGTGCCAAGGACCGGTAGATACATAAAAAAAAAATTGCGGACCGGTTGTCGATTTTAACTGATTTTAATATTTACTCACTACCAGCAGGTAGCAATAGAGGCTAATTGTATGTAACAGCCTGAACAAATACTAGAACAATATGCATCGAAAAAATATTAACAAAGTTTAAAAAAGAACCGGTGTTGTTTTTTGGTTTTTCGGAAAACCAAAAAACCGACGTTATTCAGTTTTTAAACCAAAACGGGAAAACAGATAAATCAACGTTTTGGTTTTGATTGTATGATTTACGGATAATCCAGTGAATGCTGGGAAAACGAGGAGAAGGTGCATTATGAAGGAGATGTCCGGTCGCCAGGGTGAGTGGGTGTGTGGGTGTGTGTGTGTGTGTGTGTGTGTGTGTGTGGGTGGGTGTGTGTGTGTGTGTGTGTGTGTGTGTGTGTGCACTCAAAGAAACAACTTGTAGGATTTACTTGATTAAATCTTAGCAAGTATTTGCACTTACTTTTTCTAAGTATATTTTACTGCTGTAATATCAAGTAGAACTTACTTTCCAGTATCAAGTAAAATGTACTTATCACCAGACGTAACATTTGTGAAAATATTAAGTAAATCTTACTTAATAATGTTTAAGTTACACGTTATATTTATTTGAACTAATTAAGTAAAGTCTAATTATTTTCTTCATGGACAGGAACATCACTGTTATCAAATTATTAAGTAAATATTATATATCTGTAATAGTTACTGTTATGAAGTAAATAAGTGGATCTTACTTAATAATGTTGAAGGTACACGTTATATTTATTTGAACTAATTAAGTAAAGTCTAATTATTTTCTTCATGGACAGGAACATCACTGTTATCAAATTATTAAGTAAATATTATATATCTGTAATAGTTACTGTTATGAAGTAAATAAGTAGATTTTATCATATTTTTTCTGTTTAAAATGTTGAATTACTCATTTGTTTGAAGTTATATTACTCACTTTAATTACGTAATTGTTATTCATTTACTTTTGAAAAATGTTACCTAATAAATGTAATAATCTATGCATTTAATATACATTGAGCACAAATCACACAACTAAAATACAATACAATTCAACTTTATTTTGTCAACAATTCAATCACTATTAACCGACAACATTAACATTATAATAACTGCATGCAACATTAACATTATCTTATCAAAAAATACAAAATCTACTCCATCATAGATTTGGAGTGGTGCTTTTTAAACATTCAATACAAACGTTTCTTTACCTAAGGAGGGGGAAAAAACATATAACAGAATATGAATAGACGGCAACAACTGTAATCCGTGTGAGAGAGAGAAAGAGGGAGAAATGTTTATACGGAGAAAGAAAAAAATGGCAGAGGGGGGAGACAGAGATTGATACAGCTCCCTGAAACTGAGCAATTGCAACATGGACAGTGGAAGGTACATATGAAGAACACATTTTCCATGTCTTTAAGGCAGCAGGTTCACCTTCAAAGCTTGTACTTGTTAGGATTATGTTTTAAACAGGACCCAGGCGCAGGCAATGACTGAAGATGTTTAAATGGTTTATTGTTCGGAGACTCAGGCAGGTTTGGAGACTATGGAGGTCCGGAGTGGAGGTAGGCAGTTCAGGCTGGACTGAGAACAGGGCAGGCAGGTATGGTGAAGGAAGAAGCAGGCAGGTTGGCTGGAAGCTCTGGTGGCCGATGGCTGAGGGCTGAGGGATCGCACTGGAAGCACAAGGAGAAACTAATTACAAAAAAGTACAGAATAACACGCAGACAGGATAACTGAATTGAGCAGCCAGGAGGATGCAATACCACTGGTGTAGAAAACAATCTGGCGGTGAGTTGCTGGGAGACTGGAGTAGATATGCTGTGTCTTGATTGGATTGATGAGGGACAGCTGAGCCGGTCGGCCAGGTGAGTGCAATCAGGCTGCTGCCTGCAAGGGAAACCACACCCCCTCCACACACACAGGGGAACAAACAGGGACACACAGGGACACAGTTTGGGCCGTGACAGTACTTTTGGGGTCAGCTTAATCCCATCCAGTCCGAGAAAAAGTTACATACAAGACATGAAAATGAAAGAATTTGCCCTAATTGCTCAGTTTGTGTACGGTATCTAGACAAATGTGTGTGAAGAGCACTCCAACTTTTAAATGAACAAGGACAATCTGAGTACAAGCATGGTATTGACCGGCCTTGACCGCTGTGTAGATGATTCAATCTATAATGCTTTATGAGCTGTAAACGTTTTGATGTCGTGAAGTTGCAATGTTTGCATGACCATCTCATAATATAAAGAGTCCTACATGTTCTCCCTGGTGAGACCAGCTTGGAAATCTGTCAACTGTCTTCCTCCCTAGACCTCAACTGGCTCCAGCCGCTCCACTTAAAAGTAAGGCCACTCTGTAAATGAACAGACATAATTTGTAATATTAAAACAATGGTTTAAACATTTATCCACAATTTTATATTACATTTCGCAGTGAAGAATAACAGTAATAATATATCCCTCTACTTGCCTGAGCAATCACTCCAATTAGACTCCACTGGCTCACTGCTGTACTGCTATGCTTCCTGTTGATAGACAGATATGTAAATAAGACAGATGAACTTCGTGAATATAACATTTCCACTTAATTAGACTTGATTGAATATTTGAAGAAAAAAAATTAAACAATTGGTGGAAACAGTATGTGGATATTTTACTAAAGTAAAAGTAGCAATACCACAGTGTATATTTATAACAGAGTATTTACTCTGTTACAAGTAAAAGTCATGCATTCACAACCTTACTTAAGTAAAAATTCAAAAGTATTAGTATCAAAATAAACTTAAAGTAAAAAGTACTCATTATGCAGAATGGCTCATTTGACAATAATATGTATTATATCACTGGATTATAATTAGTGATGCACTAACTCACAGGTCTCAAACTGCAGAAAAAATACTTTAACTTACTGTAAAAAAAACAACAACAATATAATTATAAGACATTTTAAGCCGTGTGTGTGTTTACTGTACATTTTGGAAAACTGCGGCTAACGCTAACTCAGCTAACATTACTTTTCCTCTCCTCTGCTTTTGACAATGCTATTCCAACTGTTATGCCCTTAGTTTTATAGACGTGAAATAAAACGTGGAACCTTCTTTAGATGCATGTGAGTGTTTTTTTAAATTATCTGGTAAATTACAGTTACGGTTAGCTAGCTAACAGCACGTAACATATCTAAAACATAATCTCTCAACTTTGTGAACTAATGCACAGAAACGTTAACATGGTTCAAGCAAACAAGAATCAGGCTATTATGCACAAAGACACATATATTATCATAAGTCTTAAACAGAGAGACAATAACTTACCAACACTTCTTTTTCCAGCCATGCAGCTCCTCCAACAGCCTTCAAATGTGCAACTGCAAACCCAACTGCACCGTCGTCCAAAAACGCGGGTATCTTGTCTTGTCAAGACGCATGCGCGGATTCAAACAGCTACTATGGTTTTAGATTAACATTTACTTAGTATTTTAAGGTTTATGAGCAGTGACTATAAATCATTTAAATAGTATGAGTAAATATATAATAAAACGTACTCCTCCCACACTGTAAATGTATTACATGAATAAAAGGTGTATACATTTAAAATGTTACTTAAGAAATTCTAGTTCTTTGTGAATCTTGATATTACCATGTAAAAAGTACGACAGTTAATTAAATATATTTTACTACACCAAAAAGTCAGTTTTTTTAGTGTGTGTGTGTGTGTGTGTGTGTGTGTGTGTGTGAGACACTGGCATTTGTTTTCAGAAGATATTATGATAGTGTCGTTCGTTCCGGTGCACTCCCGACAGTTTAGCACTACATCGAGATTAAGATTAAACTCGTTTATTTTGGGAACAGCCGCATATATGCCGGTGTCGGACAGACACAAACACACCGAACACACAGAGCTGAGCTGAGCAGAGCACATACACACACATGCGCCTTGGTGACTGACTGGACATCTCCTTCATAAAACTAATAAAAGGGGGAGTAATCGGGCAGTTCGATGTGTGTAGATGTGTGTGTGGTTAACACGTAGCAGCCTGCAGTCACTCTTAAACTGTTCTGATTAAGTTAAACACAGCGAAGGCGGTGCGTAAAAAGGCACAGCTCTTTACCGAGTACGTCCCGCTGCCTCCTGATACTGCAGCCAAATCATGAAGTGAAGGAGGGGTTCCTTCTATAAAACAGCTGCGGGCAGCAGATACCGTGAGAGTCCCGGACATTAATTCATAGATCAAGGCAGACTGGTTTACTCTCCTGTTTTGCCAATCCGGTGCTTAAACAAATAGCTCCCTCTACACCCCTGGCCGACATGTCCTTAAAATGAAGTCCGAGTTTGAAATATATCTCAAATAATGTATCCACCACCATTTCCCCACATAAACATAACAGTCTGCAATCAAACGGTTGTCTCCTGTGCGCTCCTCTTCCTACTTGGCGCACCGGTAACATGCTCGTGCGCACAAGAGGCTGAGACTTTAGGCTGAGCCGCCGAATCCCTCGGAACATCATAAAAGCCATTTTCAACGGTTTTCTGGTGAAAGATTAACTAGCTACTGGATGAAATAATATGACTGGTGGCATAGGTGCGAAAATTATTATGATAAAATATTTTTATATATTTATAATTCTTCAAATATTACGATAAACTCACCGCTATTTCGCGGCCCGGCAGTAACACCTCCGCGGCCCGGTACCGGTCCGCGGACCGGGGGTTGGGAACCCCTGATCTCTAGAGAATTCGAACTGCACTTATCATGGCTGCCACTGAGGGACTTCCGGGTCATTTCACTCAGTTAGGAAGGTTCCTAAGCTAAATGGACTATTCGACTTCAGCCCTTGTATGCTTGAAATAGTGCTCTGGAGCAGCTTTACTCAAGATTGAGAAACACCCACAGTCTATGGTTGATACATGTCGTCTTCTTCTGTTTGCTTTAATCGAGGCTACGTAGTTATGCAGCGCCCCCATCGTCAGTAAATGGAAGTACTACAAATAACCCCGTTGAGTGCAATTATTTCAAAAAGTTTTGTTATATACACAGCTCGGAAAAAATGACCGAGGTCCGGACCTCGGTGACCTCAATGGTGGATACGGCCCTGCCTATACATATCCGTCTTTTATAATCACTTCCTCAATAATGTCTCTTAAGAAAAACACGCTGTTTAAATCAATAAAGATAGTTGAATTACAGACATGGTAGATTTGATGAGACCACCCACAGGTGGTTTTATTTTTAAAATGTAGGCCCAGTGGTCACTGTCAAGCTATAGTTCAAACATAACATATAATAAACTTACAACAGAGTCCATCCCATACTGTAGTGTCTGGACTGTCCAGCTAAATCTCAATGTGCATACCCAATGCTCTGTCTGATTCAAGGATACTTTAACTTCATACTGCTGGGGATCTTAAACACAAACGACACATATGACATAACAATATCAAACTGAGCCAATTCACAAAATGCACCTTTCCAACCTATGGACTCAGACAGAGGTATGTTTTCCACAAGATTCCCTTACTAAGAACAATCAGAGGAAAATCTATGTGCAAAAAAGTGAACTATGGCTGCCAATCAGAAAGTTAATAATTTAACCTCAGGTTATTGAAATACTTCCCCCAATGCAATTTCAGTATGAAAATCCTGCATTTTTTGGTTGTACTCTGAGCTTGATGATTTCTCCTGGTGAATTTCTGTTAATGGGGCTGTAGGAAACTTCACAATTGTGTTACAAATGCAGCTTAAACCGTTGTTTCAGTTCCATTGCATCTAGAGGTCTGTGAAAATGATAGAACCTCTCTGTAATCAGTCAGAGTTCTTCATGTTGTTTGAGCTTTCAAATAACTGTTTTATTTAAACTACAATAGCATGGCTATTGTAAAACTTATTGTCAAATGTTACTAACCCACTATCGTTGGAAAAAGATAACCTGTTACCTAATTAATGTAAAAATCATTAATATTCTTAATACGCCAGGCTGAGAAAAGGAAAAAAGCAGGGGGAAAAAAGAAAAGTTGTCTTGGGTAAAATAGTAAGAATAAAACCGTTGAGTGCACTAAATGGAAAACACAATGGAAAATGAAATCAGCTTCTAGTTGCACAATATAAAAATAAAAGGGCTTGAGTCAATCCACATTCACTGTATTTAACCCAGTAAGTGGATTTCCTTTAAAAAATAAACAATACAAATAAAATACATAAAAGAAACACATAGAACAGTGAAAAGCGAAAGTAACAAAAGTCCTTAAAACTCCCAAATTTCTAGAAACGCGACTCAATATTACATAAAATAGCCTACCGCTGCTACTACTATTTCATAACAAAGCTGAAAGATGAACACAAATTAATACGTATACGGATGTGAGAAGTAATATCAAAAGCAAACATCATGACTTTCACTCAAACAAAACAATAAAACAACATATCATTTTGTTACACTTGTACTGTAACAGGACAGGGAATAGTATTTAGACTGTATTTAGGCTTGTACAGCCCTTTAATGATGAGGAATATCTGGGTGATTGGCTGATCAATAGACGGATTTTAAGTTGGATAGGTACCTTACTTCTATAAAAGTGACTTACAACACATGCTACTGATGTTTATGGTGTGTATTTTTAAGAAGTTGTAAGCTTAAGCCTTTGAATATACCCATTTAAAAAGTAGCATGTCAATGTCAAGAAAAAGCCTTCATGCAAAAGGATGTGTTTCATTTTTGCCTGATAGTCAACCCCAGATCACAACTCCACCTGGTGACACATCCTGGTAAACAAACAAATGCTTTTATACCTTGTGGAGCATGCTACTGGTTGGGCACACCCAAATCTTGCATCACTATGATGTAGCCTTTAAAAATCCCAGTTATTCCTTATCAAAGCGCTTTAAAAGGAAGTGTTCTCACAATAAAAAGGCTGCATAGGTAACAATAGACAACACAGGCCTATGTTTGGTTTCATGCCTATAAAGAAAAACCCATGTTGAGAACAAGTCTGATTGTATCACATAGTGCAAATTAGCTGTAAAACTTGTTGCTACTTAACCGGGGATTCTATAGTCATGGGCCTCCCACCATGGTTGATGTTTTAAAGAGAAACTGAACATTATAGTACAGCAAACACTTCAAACTACACAAAACAGCATAGTTCTCTCTGGATGCTCTCCTCCCACCTGCCTACTTTTTAAATGCAACCCAGTTTTCTGTTATTGTATCCCGTACCTTTCTCCATTCCCTCCCTCCCTTACCAGCAAAGTGAACTTTGGTCTAAGAAAACAGCAGTTTTTTTTAACTATGCATAATTAGGGTTAAAAGGCATGTTCCCAAATGTGAGGCGTTGCAAAAACAATGAACAACGCAGTCACACTGCTTTTCTTTTTCAACACCTTACTTTTGACGCATTATTTTCTGTTAATCCTGGACAATAAGCCTCGACCGTGACCGTCAATTTTTTCTACTCTCCTCTCTTCTCTTTCCTTTGCCTCCCCTCACTACTGGCATCTGTTACCCCCCCCCCCCCCTTCCATTATTTTCACAATTTGTATTGATAGAAAATATATCTTTTGGTACTTAGATCTTTCCATCAAATCATGTAAGACCTGGAAAAAAATAAATAGAAGTCTGAGTGATTTGATCCATACTTTATATAGATACTCATTTGACTCAAGAAGCAACTTCAACCTCGGATGTGTCATATTTGCAATATGATGCTAATATAATGCTAATTCAACCTCTCATAATCCTTCCTTTGTATTTAAATATATACAACTACTTTTTGCCCAGGTCTGTTGGGTACTTATTCCTGTGAATCCTTAATTGTGGAGCTTGGTTCACTTTCAATTCAATCAATTAAGGAAGTTGTGTTTCTTCTAAATTTAAAAAGGTAAGAACAATGTTTTGAGTGTGGAAAGAAAAATCATATCAGACTAACAAGGAAACAAAGAACACATGTTGAAAACATTGGTCAAAATTGCAATTTCAGATGACCTTTTTTTACAGTTGATTATATTGAAAGTGAATGGACAGCCAGCCCTGGTTTTTCTTCTGTTCCTCCTTCCAGTACTTCGTCCTTCTCTTCCGCCTCAGCGCATCTTGTGTTCAACGTCAGCGTTGGCCATGTTGGAGCCAGGGCTGTGGTCCTGCTGTCGTCTGGACTGGGGAGAGAGAGGGATGGAAGGATGAGAGAGGGAAAGAAAGAAAGAGTGATGGAGCAAGACACAAGACAGGGTATAGAGGGAAAGAGATTGATTGAGTACATTTTTCAAGGACGAACAGGTGTAAAGTCAAACTGGTAAAACTTAACTTGAACATTAATCTCAAAACAGTATGCATCATAAAGTTATAACTGATTACAACAATATTAAACTGTGTTGTGAAGTATTAACTGTTTATACCCCGGATATTAATCTAATTAATTCATTAATTATGGGAGCCTTGCTCAAGGGCACCTACTCTACTCTATGGTAAGTTTTTAGCCCTATGTGTTTTTTTAAAGGGGGTTGCATTATACACTTACGCCACCTATTTGAAAAAAACATGATTTTTGTGGACAGATGCAGCAGCAATGAGTTTGAGATACCTAAAACAAAAACCTAGCTATAAAAATGAATGTCAGTTTTGGAGTACGTAATATTAAGACTACTTTGATCACGTTACTCTGCCTTTAGACAGCCAAAAACAGTCATTTTCACCTGCAGCAAATGTTAGTTGCTGGTGTTCCATTTCCTTTAATCTGTTAGTTTGTTTGTGTTATTGTACGTCATTTTGGTGTTTTAAGGGGTTAATTTGGATTCACACAAACTAACTGTTCGAGACAGCGGTATACCAGCAACTCCCGTGTTCTGGGAGGTAAAATGACTATTTGTTAATGGAAACTGGTGGCGTTGAAGAGAGTATAGATTACAGATTCAGTTCTCCATCTGAAAGTGATAACACAATTCTACATTTAAATACATTTGGATGCTGCCCCCTTTCACAGCAGTATGGTTTTCATTATGATATTCCTGTCTGATTCTCCAACAATATGTTGTAAGTAAAACACTGACTATGGATAAGTAACTCATACAACACCACTTCAGCTAGTCGGTAACCAACACGTTCTCAAATGTGAAAACATCTATACTTAATCTACAACTACAGGCTGATGTGATGTCAACTGAAAAAATGTTGCAGTTCCAAAAACATTCACTAGAGGTAACCAGAGTACTTTTTTAGACAAGGCTCGACGCTGCTGTTTATACACTTTACTGACGTTGATATATTAGTCAAGATAGTTGGCAGACAGACAGGCAGACGGACAGTCATACATAAACACAGCAACACCAAATTGATTATTAGGTCATCATTGTAAGCCGGCTGTATGACAAGACTTTTAAATATATTTCATGAGTGAGTGTTGGTGAGCCCATGGCAGGACCTGCTACTGCTATACAAAAAATAAACATTTGTGGTTATATGTTTACACTTAAGTGATAGCTGAGCAGAATTGGGAGGTTGAGTAATGGGGAGTTGGGGGGACGGGTGATAACGAGTGGGGAGAGGGGAGTCGGAGAGCAGACAGAAATGCAGACATAGATAGTAAAGGGGTTGCTTAGTTCAACTGGAATGTGGTTTATGTCATCTCAATGACTCACCATAATAGCAACATACACACAGTCACATGCACACAAACACATACAGTATGTCATACTACCATTTTGATTCCTCACAGCCAGACTGACTCCACTTTATGTCTGTCTCCTCTAGTGAGGATTTTGGTTGCTCTATCAAAACTGCTTCTAAAGACATTTGAAATGAAATTCATTTTTTTTAAATTTTCATCTGGTATCAATCACTGGTTCTTATTTTTGTTCCTGCCCTTTAGAAGTTAAAAAGGGTTTATAATCATAATTTATTTCCTGTCAAATCTGTCTCTTTTGTTATTAACACAATATTACTGGGAGCAGGGGCCTCATTTATAAACGTGGCCTACGCTGAAAAGATGGCATACTCCAGTTTCTAAGCAATCTTTGCGATTTATAAAAAACAAACATGACCGGAAAATGTGCGGTCCTCCACGGACACTCTGACCCATGCGTACGCACAAAAACGGGAGAGATGAGAAACTGCGACACCGTACGTGGCAAGATGAAATGGCAGCAGCATGTTTTGACCGTGCTATAAGCCAAATTCCTGTCAAACAACACGTACAACATCTTGAGAGAGGCCAAGCCCCTCTAAGTGTTCCCGTTCAGGGGCCATGCCCACAAACGCTGGCCTATCACTGGGTGACCGCTGATCGCTCCTTCCACCTGGGAGAGAGGGCCCCCGCGCCACGGAATTTCCCACGGTCTGCCTGACAGCATCCGCTGTAGGCATGAAAACCAGGACGCTCCTGTGCGCTCCGGGGCTATTAAGATCGCTGTCAGCCACTCCTCCTGCACTTGGTCCAGGAACCGAGGGATCAGTGGGACTGGTGGGAAAGCGTATATCAACACCCTGGGCCAAGGTTGGTGTGCGAACGCGTCCAACCCCAGGGGGGGTTGGTCCTGCGTTCTCAGGGAGAACCAGAGGGCACACTGCGCGTTCCCGCGTGCAGCGAACAGATCCACCTCTGCTCTCCCGAACCTGCTCCATACCTGGGAGACCAGTTCGCTGACCTCATGCCTAACAGCTGTATCACGGAGAGGGCTGTCACCACGCTGCAGGGTGTGATACGCCGGAGGAGAGCTGTCAGTTTCTCCACTCTCTGCCGTGAGAGCCGCGCTCTCATGGTGGCCGAGTTTTATTCCACTCCCAGATAAATGATAATCTGGGAGGGAAGAGGACAGCTCTTCTTCCAGTTTATAAATGAAACCCAGGCTTGACAGATGAGATACGAGCTGTACCGTCTGTAAAGCGACTTCCTCCCTGGAGCGAGCCAGCCACAGCAGGTCGTCCAGGTAAAATAACACTCTCATCCCCATTCTGTGTAGCGGCTCTCATTATGTCGCCGTTTAGGAGAAGGCTCGTAAACCGGACATTAAACGCGTTCACACCGGAGTACTTTTACCCGTACTTTTCCCGTTTAGTTCCGATTTTTACACCAAAAACAGTACTTAGTTCCGAGAACATTTACCCCCATTATTAGTGCCTGCTAGAAAGGTGGTACTATCCTGGGGAGAAAAAAGTACCAATTTCGATTGGCTGGGCGAACCACGCCCCGTAAAACTCTGAAAAGATTGTGAAGCCGCCATTGTATTTGCTGGCATTAGCATTATTAGCTTTAGCATTAGCCCCGCGCACCAACGGAGAGAGAATAACTTATGGCAACACAAAAAAAAACATGGGAGCGGTGGAGTGATGAGGAGGTGTCGGCGTTCTGGCGATTTACTCGGAAGGCTTCAGTAGAAGCTGCTGGGAGTCCCAGCAGCTTCTACTGAAGCCAGTCCCCAACTCCGGGTGGCAGTATACGCCGTGAAGTGGTTTGCGGCCTGCCAGTAAACCCAAAGCAGAAGAAGAAGAAGTGACGTCAGCGGCTTCATTTGCGTAATCTTCCCTCAGGGAACTGGATCTGTACTTAATTCCATGGGGGTACTAAGTGCTGGCACTAAGTGCTGGGTACTAAGTAAGGCAAAGTACTTGGTGTGAAAGCGGATTTTGAGGCGCGTTCACGCTCAACACCCCTGAGGGATGAGCGGAGGTGTGTGCAGTGCTGTCCACACGAGGTGTAATAATGGCACTCATGGGCTCATTACGACCGTGTGTAGGAGGTACGTCTGGGACAGAGGAAAAATCCGAGCTGCCTAATAACCAATAGGTTTTAAAGACCGCCGGTTTATGCAGCGAGCCATGCTGCCTACTAACCAACAGGTTCAGGGGCAGCTGGCATAACCGGTGAGCCTTGCTGCTTATTATCATCCATCTGTCCATCGAACACACGCGCCGCTACTCTGAGTAATACTCTGAGTAATACTCTGAGTAATACTCTGAGTAATACTCTGAGTAATACTCTGATAGCGGGTGTACATGCTCTGGATGTGCTGTGGTTGTCATGGTGACGAGCCACGCCAGAGCCCCAGGGGGCCTCCACACGCTGTTTTGCACAGCGGCTCTCATCATGTCGCCGTTTAGGAGAAAGCTCGTAAACCGGACATTGAGGCGCGTTCACGCTCAAACCCGCTGAGGAATGAGAGGAGGTGTGTGTAGGAGGCACATCTGGGACAGAGGAAAAAACCTGTGCTGTCTAATTAACTGACAGGTTTTAAAGACAGCCGGTTTATGCCGCGAGCCCTGCTGCCTATTAACCGACAGGTTATGAGGCAGCCGGCTTATGCAGCTTTTTTTACGTCATCCGGAGGAGAACTCTCCTGAACCGGGGGAACGGGGAGATCTCATCCAGGCGGCTGCCTTTCCGATGATCTCTGGGAGTTCCTGGAGAATACCGCCTATCGACGGCAGAGCCGTGATGGCGGAGAGAGGGACCCGATGACCCGGGACCCGGTGTCAGTCCTGTCTCCTCCATCCGAGGAGAGGGAGGATGGGGGAACCACATGGTGATCCGTGAATGGAGGGGAGGGAGTCGCCTGACTGGCTGCTGCCTGCCACTCGGATCCAATAAGTCAAGGGCTTCGTCCACGGAGAAAGACTCCTGGACTGGCCAATCATCCTCGGCCGCAGCAGCGAGAGCGTCCGCTCTCCGCTGTCTGTGGGCCAGAGGGAGACGGACACAATGAGTGCACGACACCTGGGGAGTGAGAGCCGCGTTTGCGTGCTCCAATCCCAGGCAGGACTCACACCGAGAGTGCCGGTCGTAACTCATAATGTATCCTGTTTGGCATGAAGGGCAAACCCGAACACAGCCCTGACTTGAATGGGAGCAGATTGTCGGGCCTACTTCCTATTTATACGGAAGTGAGTCCGTAGGTGGGGCCCACGTCGTAGGTGGGCGTGGATTAAGTCTGTCAGTGCTGCGCATGCGCAGTGGGATTACCCAATAGCTTTAGAGGGCGAAGACCTTCATGCTGCTACTCTGGTTCAAACTGCATCCACCAAACAATATGATTTACTTGTCTCCACCTCCCCAAAAGAACCAAAATCTGACTCAGTGTGAAATGTCTTTTTTTGCTCTTCTGTCTGCATTTACTGCGATCTTCTTCCTGCAGTCAGTCTGAATGAATATTAATACGGGGCATTTCTTTGACTATTTATAGGCCAATATGGGCGTTACGTGAAGCCCGCAAAAGCTGCGCCGCATTTCGAGTTGATTGTGATTTATAAAGGGAAACCGGCATAGGACGTGCGTGCGCAGTGTTTTATAAATCGGAATATTTTTGTGCGTATTTACTTGCTTTGTCCTACGTACACCACCTTCCCACGTGAATTCTACGCAAAGCTTTATAAATGAGGCCCCAGAGCACATTTTCCTTTTATTATTAAAAGATGTATGATGAGTAGTAGATCCAGCCAAAGCATTAACAGTTTACTCCATCAAGTATTGTAGTTAGTCATGTGATTAATTACACCTATGTGTACACCCTACTCCTCAGTGTCAGGACATGACTGAAGTGTATTAAATTGCTAGGTTATACTGTAGGAATAATGCATGCGCTGGAAAAGTGGTAAGCATACGGCAGAATAAATGAGAAACAAATTGTGTGAGCGTTCAGATGTTTTGATGTGGTCTTGTTGTTTTTCAATGTGACCTCTATTCATTTAAATTCATCAAGACTTTCTCCTTTTTGTTATTCTTCATTCACCTTGGAGGCATGCGTGAGAAACCAACTATTTTTTTCTCTTAATGAATTCAAGGTAACATTTGATAATTGATTAATATTCAAATTTTGTGGATGAAGTAGTCATGTGCAACCAGACTCCTGCAACTCCCGCTCAGTTGAAACTATGATGTATGATGCTGAATCATGGCAGTAGTGTAGTGTTTATTCTTTGTAAAAGGGAGTGGTCTCTTTGCTAATCATAAGGGTAGGAGAGCTTGTTGTATTGATTTGCACACAGATGGAAGCCTGCTCGGCCACTATAGGCTGCTTAACCACAACTCAATACTGGAGGTGTGTGTGTGTGTGTGTGTGTGTGTGTGTGTGTGTGTGTGTGTGTGTGTGTGTGTGTGTGTGTGTGTGTGTGTGTGTGTGTGTGTGTGTGTGTGTGTGTGTGTGTGTGTGTGTGTGTGTGTGTGTGTGTGTGTGTGTGTGTGTGTGTGTGTGTGTGTGTGTGTGGTGACCAACACAGGGGGTCTGATGGCGATCAATACTAATTATATATTAATGCTTTCAGTGCCAGCTCATCATTCACCACCACATTTATTTCTGCTGAGCACTTTGAGAATAGTGTTGGTTTGTGTGTGCGTATGTGTGTGAGTGCATGACCTCACGATATATATTGCTTCTCTATCCATCATTCTGACAGGACCCTTCTGACCTTGAATAACTGGAATATCACCTCTTTTGGATATGCTGTATCTGCCAAAATGACAACGCTTCAGGAATGGAAAGAGAAACAGCTTTCTGGGAGCACACAGTGAAAAAAGGACATTACTGTTTTATTTGTCGAGCATTACTGCAATGAAATCTACCTTAATCTAAAATGTCTTCTCAGATCAATATTTTGGCATGAAAATATTTTATTTTATTTTTGGTGACTTTGGGCAAAATATCTGCATTTTGCTTCTATTCCTGATCCTCTATTATTGATTTCACTGGAAGAAATGTATATTTTACACATATACTGGACTGTAAATATTAGATAGATTAATTTCATTTAACCTTTGACTTAATGAGCAAGAAAAACAAAACACACTAAACAGTATTGTTCCTACTTCCTTTCAGGCTTTGGCCACTACATATATTTGTTAGGGTAGTTAGATGTTTTGAGAAATGTCTTCATTCTTTTATCAGTCTCAAAGAGAAAGGTGTCAATTTTCCACCAAAAAATAAGTGTTTTTTCCCAAAACAGAATATTCCTTTAATTTGACCTTCTTATAAACGATTAGCTTAATGTTCTCTCATTATACACATCATTGAAAACTATCAAAACCTCTGCGAGTGAAACATGTTAATAAAAAGAATAAATAAATGTCGGCAAAGCTAGAATAGAAACAAAAGTCTAATTTTCATTTTACCTTAATCATTTCTAATGTCAAATCTAAATAATTGTTTTACATAGAGGATGGTTTTATTAAGAATCAGTAATTGAACTCGGTTTATTGCTAAGTAGGATTTGCTTTGGTGTAGAGTAGGGGATGGTGATGGCACTTATATTGATTGAGTAGGAGACACAGGGTTTTCTTTTTCTCTAAGAGCCTCAGGGAGGAAACATGAGATAAGTCAGATGAAAGATGACCTTCATAATGTCTCTCTTTCCTTCGTGTCTTTCTGTTCCCTTGTCCGTGCTTCTCTCACGCCCCTCTTCCCTATATGTGCTGAGTCCCTGCCTTCCCTTTCTGTCTAATTTGTGAAGCACCATGTGCCGCAGAACTGTGGTCGGGCTTGATTTGTGTGTGTGTGTGTGTGTGTGTGTGTGTGTGTGTGTGTGTGTGTGTGTGTGTGTGTGTGTGTGTGTGTGTGTGTGTGTGTGTGTGTGTGTGTGTGTGTGCACGTGGGCACCATTGTACAAACACGCTGTGAAATGGTTACATTTGGCAGTTTCTGTGTCTCTCATGCAATCAGCTAATACAAAAAGCAGAAGCAAAGAAGAGCATGCATATTTATGAACAGACACATAATGAAAATCACACACACACACGCACACACACACACACACACACACACACACACACACACACACACACACACACACACACACACACACACACACACACACACACACACACACACACACACACACACACTCACACAGGGTGGTTTAGTGCATGACAGTGTGATAGATGGTGAGAAATGAAGGACACAGACCATGTTCTTTTCTGCTGGCTGCCTGTCTGTGTGTCATCAGTCCCAGATTTTAGAAACCACAGGGTCCTAAAAAATAAACAATTTGAGGTTCATTTGTAACTTCGTCCACATGCCATTGACATCCCCAAAGCCTTGCTGGGAAAGTGAGTTTCTTCAAGTTGTTAAATGCTTTTGGAATGGTTACAAAAATCACAGTGATACAGTGTTTATATTTTTTTATGTGTTTGAGTAGGACACTGTGAGCAGATTATTCCATTAACAAATCTTAATTTAAGAACAGATCTTACGACAATTTGTGAGGTTGGTATTTCACAATTCCTGATGTAATTTGGGTAAGTCAAAATTACTTTATATTTCTGTGATCTGCAGCACGGGTGAATCAACTACTTTTCCTCCGGAGGCTTTTGGGACACATGACAAAACTGAATAAGTCAGTCAATAGTTCAGTAAAATCAAATCAATAATCAGATTAGATGTATTGTCAAACTGATCATGCACTTAACCTATACATAAACTATAAATGGTATGTTTACATTTAAAATAATAATCTAAAAGCACACAACCACACATCACACAAAAGCCACCCCAGGTGCTAAGCAAATAAAACCCAAATGGAAATTTGACTTGGACTGCGTCTATATGTCTTTAATGAAATGGTGTCCTGCCATATCGTAACTACAATTAATTAAAGACTCACAAAGACATAATTATGACACATTTAGAACAGATTTTAGTCACTTTTGCCTGATCTGGAGTATTTATCATTTACTAAGTCTCTTAATGTGATTTTAATATTTTGAAATGTTTTGCAAAGAACACGGTGCACAATGTACTGTTAACAAGCTGTCGAGATGATGAGTTCTTTAGGTGTCATATTTAAAAAAAATCTGAAAACACCTTTTGCAAATCTAGAGGCTAGACTTATACACTTGGAAGGGTTTTGTTAGGCTAGACTAACAAAGCCAGCCCACAATCTTGAAACTTCCCTTTTTGCTTAAGGTCGTCTCCCAAGGGAGGACTCGAATCAGAGAAATGACAGCTTCACTCAGACTTCAACATGTGAGCCAATGTTTCTACACATGGTCAGATGAATGAGACACCTGCTTGAATATCTTTGGTCAATTCTCTTGTGGAAAGACCTCATTCGATACATTCTGTTTCTACATACATTTGAGCTCCAAAAAGAAGGCTGTGTTTTAATTTGTATTAACAGTTCTTGCTTTAGAAAGAAATTCTTAATTCACAAAATTGGCCTTTGTATATTAATTACTTATTTCATGCTATATTGAATTCTTGAAGAAAAAAATTATCTTTTACCACGCATGCCTCCACGGGGAATGAACATTTTTTAAAAACGAGAAGGTTCTCGATGAATTGAAGAAAACAGGGGCGGCGTTTAATAACAGACAAATACATTAAAAACATCTGCAGTCGTGTAATTGAATCCAAGTCTCATTCATCAGGTCATTGTTAAATCCAGCCCCCATTTACCTCAGTTTATCAACAATGTTCTCAGTTTCTTTGATTCTTTGTTTACTGTGAGAAAGCATGTGAGAACAACACAGTTTTCTTTAAGAATTGAAGGTAGCACAGGATCATTTGTAAGTGATGGTCATTTTGTGGGTGAAGTATTCTTTTAATAACAGCTGAAATGCTTGTACCTGATGTCCTCCAGTGGTGCAGAAGTGTAATCAGGCATGAGACAATAAATCATCACTGGGTGTACTCCAAGATGCACACCCAACAGTGATGCTGTGTTTAAGTGAAACAATGTGTTTCAATTTTGAGTTAAGTTCATCTTAAATAAGTGGTTGAGTCAGACGGGGGAAAAGTCATTATAATGTTTATCTGTAAAACACAGTAAAGAGGTAAAACTCATAGTTCACATGGCATGTTATCCAGACTCAGATATGTATCTGATGATTAGGCCGGCTTTGCGAGGCTAAGACAGGTCTCAAGCAGAAGCAGACGCGATTGGGGCTAAACTATCAAGCAACAGTCAGCTTCTTTTTGAGATTAAGCATCATTTCCCTTTAAACATCGCCATTACAGGACCTCTCACCTCAAGATCCTCTCTGTGTGATCGGTCTCTGTCTTCAAAGTCTCTGGTTCTGCGTCGAGCCTCTTCAAAGGCTGCCTGGGCCAAAGCGTCCTCTTGCTGCAGGCACACACACACACACACACACACACACACACACACACACACACACACACACACACACACACACACACACACACACACACACACACACACACACACACAAACAAACACAAATACACATATACAGATAAAGAGTGAGATGAGACAGGGGAAGATGTGGTTTTTCTATTCATGCACACCATCTTGGTCTCATTCCCAGGGCGTCAAGTAGCAACATTTTGTCACACCCCTTGAAGTCTGATCCCGATTATGAAGGCACCTTTTAATGTTATAATGAGATGCATAGAAAACCTGACGTAGTGATAAAGTTTGTTTAGGAGGGAGTTATTTCAAAGATGTTACTTGACTTATTTTATTTTTTTACCCAAACCACAATCTTATCCTTTACCTAACCTAGTTATTTTGTTTCAATACAGAACAATAACCACTGCTGGTTAGACACATAGGGCTACTCATTATATTAAAATGTGAACCCAAGGAGTACTGACCAAGTGTTTGTATGTGACGAGTTGAGAATTAGAATGGGTTGTTCACACCAAAACACATAAATCAGTCTGCATGCGTGTGCTGTGTTACCTGCGCCCTCTCTTCATCCAGTTCCAGGTATCCCATCCCATCCAGTCTCTGTAGGTCAATCCAGCCTCTCCAGGTCACACACACCCCGTTCAAAATCATGGGAGCCTTTAAATAGACCTGGATGGAGAGAGAGTGAGAGAGAGGGAGAGATTAATGCCAAAAGCAGATATTTTTTATTATTTGTGCAACATCACTGCAGCACTGACCTGCTTTGATTTAAAATGTGTCCAGTTTTCGTTATTTATAAGGTGTTAATATGGCAAAAAGTGACACGTAGAATTTGAAAAATCTAGAATGTACCAAAAGACATAGATCTGATGCTGTCCAGAACTATATAAGATTTAATTTGGCAAGCAATACCTTTCCAATAAAATAACAGGTTAAAATGAAAATGGCAAGTTTTGAATCCAAAACTGACAGCTGTTTTTGAAGAATCTTAAAAAGCTCTTTGCTCCCGGGATGGAAGTCATCGCAACCTCGCTATTAGTGCTGTGAAAAAGGAAAAACCACCAACTACGTCAACACCTCTCCAGTACAATTGAGTGTTAGACTTCTAAATCACTCACAGACACGCACACTTTGACATGCATGTACATAATGTGCCCATGTGCACAACCCATGGAGGTAAGTGTGTTTTCGTAAGGGAGTGCAACTATACATGTGTACAATGTATGTCATTGTGCTTGCTGCTGCAGGATGTCAGTCCAGTGTTTTGGGCTAATAGGCATTTTTTATTGGACTAAATACACAAAAAGTGATCAAAAATAAATATCATGTGCCTAATAAACATCTTTATCCTATTGTATTTGAGTGTGTGTGTGTGTGTGTGTGTGTGTGTGTGTGTGTGTGTGTGTGTGTGTGTGTGTGTGTGTGTGTGTGTGTGTGTGTGTGTGTATTTTATTTTTAATGGCCATTGCCGTCTATGACTTTTTCACAGACTGCCAGCTGAAATACGACTTTGTGGTATCTAATCCTTGGTAATAACTTAATTTGTTTCCTGGAAATAAATGTGATGTTGTTTTGATGTTCATGTGACTTCAGTTCAACCTGATATATCCAAACAAAGTGCAAAACAACATTTCAGCAGGCTCCCAACAGATCATTTCCTCCGTTTTGTCAGACCTTGTGAGTTTATGTTTTGCCTCTCTGTGAGAGGGAGAGCAGAACAGTTGGACAATGAGCAGTGATAAAAAGTGTTACCCATTTCTGTTATTCATGTGCAGCACAGTTAGCCCATCAACAGTGTCAGACAGACAGAGGAGGCACAGACTTAGTCTCTTTCTCCACTCCTGATTATATAACATGGCTATGGCTCTATTCCAGAAGAGCAGTAACGAGAACATATGTAAGTGTGGCCGAATCTGTGTATGTTCATGAGATGAGGAAATGTATACATATGATCACAGAACCATTTCTCTTAGTACATTTGAGCTACTGCAGTGTAGATTACTCTAAACTAATATAAACAATTCTAATGAAAAATAAAGTCACAACACAGAGTTAGTTAACTAGCTATTTAAGTAATCATTAGTAATGAGCGTTTAGCAGCTTACAAGCTAGACATGTATCTGCCAAAAGTTGGTTGAGACCAAAGCAGAGCTAAAAGACGAGTTGCCAGAAACATAAGCATCATCAAAACGACGCTTATGTTTGTGAGCAAAAAAAGGAAACAGATTTACCGAAGCAATGCTTTGATTAGCCTTTCAAAAAGAGCTGTATAAACGTGTCTCTCAACCTAAAATATGATCCAAACCTTGCTTAAGTGTGATACAGTTGCTGTCTTAAATTCCTTACTTTTCTTCCTCTTTCCCACGATACACTGATTTCCATGGGGAAGAGACAACACACAGTGAGAGGCAAGGAAACACACTCAGTCTATTTTTCCCAGGGTAGAAAGTTATAGGTGGTATTTTTAACTGAGTAAATAAATATTTAGGAATTCATTTAAAAAATGAAACACTACCCTCAAAAAGGGGATAAACCCAGTTAAATGGAATTTTCTGTGTAACACTGGGCAAACTTCATGTTCCTACATTTTGATTCAGGCTATTTTTGGACAGCCTTGCATAGGGACTTCTTTTACCGCAGCTACCCACACTGCACCGGGGTTCCAGAGGAGACCGCACTCCAAGAGACTGTGGGTATTTTGTGTTTATTCGAGTGAATGTGTGTGTGTGTGTGTGTGTGTGTGTGTGTGTGTGTGTGTGTGTGTGTGTGTGTGTGTGTGTGTGTGTGTGTGTGTGTGTGTGTGTGTGTGTGTGTGTGTGTGTGTGTGTGTGTGTGTGTGTGTGTGTGTGTGTGTGTGTGTGAGGGAAAGATGGCTTCTACATCTGTGGGGCTGCATGTTGCTTTTAAAGGAAACTCCATTTGGCTTGACAGGCAAAGTGTGTGTGTGTGTGTGTGTGTGTGTGTGTGTGTGTGTGTGTGTGTGTGTGTATGTGTGTGTGTGTGTGTGTGTGTGTGTGTGTTTGTGTGTGTGTGTGTGTGTGTGTGTGTGTGTGTGTGTGTGTGTGTGTGTGTGTGTGTGTGTGTGTGTGTGTGTGTGTGTGTGTGTGTGGGGAAAATATGTAGAAACGGCCCAACCACAGACTTCCTCTGAGAGAGAACCATGTCAAACCCCCACATCCATTTACCAACACACACACACTCACGCGAAGACAGAAGAACTCTCACACACTGCAGCACACTGTGAATAAGAAAGATAGAGAATGAAATTCAGTGGAAATGATACTGTTTAAAACCAAGAGCAAGTTTTGTAAAGCTCTAGGTGTCAGAAACGTGTGTTGTTCTACTGATTTGTATTTACCTGTAGTAATTCTGTTGAGAAGATTTCTAAATTAAAGTTAAGAACATCTGGACAATAATATAAACTGCCCTGTTAATGTATCATGTCAGCTTTGTCTAAAATGCAGATTACAATTCTAACCTTTTGCAGATAAATGTGAACATAAAAACATTTGATAATCCTATACAATGTTATAATGAACGGTTAAACTTTCTTCTGATAATTGTAAATGTAAATTTCACATTTGTTGCCCTGTGTTCTTCTTTAGATTCAGTGTTGCTCACTAGAATGCATCATGTGTTTCCATGAGCTCTAACACATCTGCCAAATTCATTTCCTTCCTCATTTGAGTAGCTGTTATTTTTGTACTTTAAATCCATCCATCAAATCCATGATTAGGATCCAAGGATTCTGGTGTGTCCTCTCTCTGTGCATGTGCATACTCTAAAAACACAATAAGGACCCACTTATAGTCAAAAACAAGAGGTCACTTAATAGTTTAAAGTAAATTACATGACATAGCCTTTCACCGTCATAGGTTCTCAACCCAAATCTGAGGAATGTTTGATCCAAGTGTTAGTCAGTGCTCTCAACACCATCATCAAACCCTTATGAGGGAGTACATTTTGGATGCACATGTTCTTACCTCCAGATAGGATTTGTGGAATCCATGAGAAAGAGCACAGAAGCTGCTCTGGAAGTTCAAGGTGATAGCCTGAAACACTTAATAACGGTTTTACCATTATTTGTGTACCTGTTCTTACAGACATGCATGCACTGGGCTCTTACATCATCCAGTCCTGTGAGTGTGAACCTGAACATTTAGATCACATTTCCGTTGACAGTATTCTGCAGTCAACATGACGTGATGAGCATATTGCAAAAGATCAAAACTTAAATGTAGGTGATTTTAGTGTTCAAACTAAGGCTGAAGGATTTTATTGTTTAACATCATTGACCTCAAGTCATTTGTAGTGTAGTGTAGAGTCAAAGGATGAAGTTCCAAATACACAACATAATGTCATCTTTCTTTTTGGTTGAGCAAAGACTTCCTTCTGCAATCAGTGTTGCTGCAGTCTCGTGATTCAATGCAGACTATTTCTTTTCCTGTGAATTCTGAGCACAAACGGGCCTCATAAACCAATTGTTTATAAGAAGAAACATATTCTTAACAGCCACATAGACCATTTTTACAAGTGACTGATGTATTTTCGGATATATTATTAGGTTAGAGGTTCTTACAACAGAATCTACGTTCACTCAAGAGCATACTTTTGTAGGGCTGACGTAACACTTCAACATTGATTCAGTGAAAGCATCCCATACCTATGTCCATGCACTACTGACACTATGTCATATGAATCTTGTTTGGCATTCACTTCTCCATCCTCTTGCTACTTCTGTTTGAACATTTCAATTTCTGTGTGCACACAGAATGATCTAGACTCCTCCAAGTTACTGTAAGTACTTCCTACTGTGTATCTATATGTATCTGTGTGTGTGTGTGTGTGTGTGTGTGTGTGTGTGTGTGTGTGTGTGTGTGTGTGTGTGTGTGTGTGTGTGTGTGTGTGTGTGTGTGTGTGTGTGTGTAGCAGTGGGCAATTTTGCTGACTAGATGGTTGGCATCAGGCTGAATGAGACACAGTATGCCAACACATCCCGCTACATCTGCGTCACGCACTGACTACCAACACACTTTCTGATGCACACACACACACACCCACACACACACACACACACACACACACAGCAATGCCCACGAGGTGGCCCACAATGGGCAACTGTGTTTTCAGCCTCGTGAGTTGTGGCAGTCTGTCTCTCCCACACACACATGCAAGCGCACACAGTCACACACTGATAAACACATTCAAATAAACAGCACGATGTATTACCAGCTCTTTTAATCCACACCCCCAACACCATTATGTCTATATATGTGTGTGTGTGTGTGTGTGTGTGTGTGTGTGTGTGTGTGTGTGTGTGTATGTGTGTGCGAGTGTGCGAGTGTGTTTGCACATTTAGAATAAGAATGAGCTCTAGTGAAAATCTGTGTGTATGTGTGTGTTATTCACACAATAAACAGCTGTGTGCGTCTGAGTCAGCAGCCAGCACAGGCAACTCAGGCTCTCTACTTTTTCTTTCTTCCTCACTATCCTTCCATGTGTCTTATCAGATCAATAATATCACCATCCTCTTCTCTTGTCTCCAGAAAGGCATTCAATCAATTAAAAAAAACACATTAACTCACAGCTTCTCTTTAACAGCCAACAACAAAGACATAATCCCTCCACTGAATACAACTCCAACAACGACGCCATGTTTTCATTTCCTG